TTTTGCAAATTTTCACTTTGGAAGGCTATAACTTCGTTCAATCTTCATATTTTTAAATGCAGTCAAGACCCTCAGAAACAGCAAACCTTTCGTATTCTAGCGCGCACCTGCTCGTACTAATATCGCAAACGGGAAGAAAACCATGCGTCAAAAAAGTGGAAGTTTTTCTTTTGAAAACCTCTTCTTTGAGAGCTTACAACTCCCTTCAAGTTTTGTTCGTATGGCTGCAAATTAGCTTATTTTGTAGCCGCAGGCCACTTGTTTACGTATGTATAGAAAAAACTCCAAAGAAGAAGTTGTGCGAAAAGAAAAGATAAAAATTCAAAAATGTTCACTTTTTTGAGCCTATTTCTTGTAGGCTTGTGAGTGCCAAATTATGAAAATGTGGAATTCTTCTTGCACTGAATAGTCAATTTCTCTTCAGATGTTGTAGTTAAGGTGTGCTTATCTCAAGCTTACAGAACTGGGCAAAGCTTTGGCGATTGCCTTAATTATGAGAAATTTGTGATCCATAAAATGCCAGCAGTAAGTATCTATTTCGAGGAGTCAATTTCTCAGTCCACATTTCTCCAAAAATCTAGATCAGCATGCAGTAGGTAAACAATCTTCATCTAATACAGTTGCTATGTTTTCAGAAGAATTCGTTCATTTGCTCCTGAATTGTGGTCAAGAAACGGAAAGCTATGAAATTTCGATTTTGAGTGCGGATGTGCAAAATGCTGGTGAAATTCCCACAGATGAGGATAGCAGCTTATTTCCACCACCGTTAGAAAGTACATAGAGAAAGCTTTCCAATGATGTGCAGATTCTATATCGTAATAGAAAGTTTGACGAGAAAAAGTTGTTTGGAATCTAGGCTTAGAAAAACGGACATTAATTTTCGGACAACCTAATATATAAGCAAACAGCAGTGTTTATTTGAAGTATTTCTTTGATGAAGAGTGTGCAGTTTTTGCTCGCATTTCCACTGGCTTGGCATTTTTGTCATTGTAGTCGTTGTTTTCATTTTTCTATCTTGAGGTAACTGTTCTTTTAGGAAATTGTGTCAGCTGCAGTGAAACTGCGCATAACCAGGGCTTAACGCAGGTGGAACCTGTCGCTGGATATTTGGGCGATAAAAGCAAGGAAGATGTCTCTGCGTGTTACCATGCCGCTGCTTGTTAGCATGCCGGAAGCACTCCTCTGACATACAGCCGGCATACCGACATCAATTGAAAAGTTTTGTTTACAATCAAAACCCATTGTTGAGACACCAAATTGCGAAAGAAGGGGATGACTTCCAATAGATCATTGGGTCAAGTTTAGCAATATGGTATCTATCTGAATGACACGGGAGTCGACTAGTATGATCCCGCAGCATGTCTGGAAGTACGAATTCCATAGTTTGCACACTTCGCACTGGTAATGCAGAATTGCGAGGCAAACAAAAATCAAAAGCAAGCAAGATCAAGTTCATCGAGTTTTTGTTCTTTCTTGGAACGAAAACGCAAAGGACAAAAACAGATAAAGTACTTTTTCAAAACTTATTAGTGAGAGATGCTTTCAAAGTGAGCGAACGCACCCGAGAAATTCCGTAATTAAAGCTTTGAAAATTTCGAGAAGGTAGAATATCAATATGGGAAAAATTTTAATTACTAAAAGTATAAAAAATCACATAAATCTCCTTTTACAGCTAGGTTGGCTTCTCACATCGTCCCAGGAGATGCAAGCCCTCCTTCACTTGCAACTAATTCGATAAAATTCTGAGGCGGAGATTTTTCCAATAGAATCCCCGCGCACCACTTCCGTGCGGCGACGTGCCCGTTAGAAAACACCTGGGCCGCTGCGAAATCCAGCGGAAATTCAAACGTTTAAGTAAAACAAGTGTTCGATTTACTAATGCTCCTCACGACCTTACGCACGATCTCAGTTTTCGCCCGCCGAACGCAGCAGCAGGCATCCTCTAATACTTTGTTTGTTGAAACAAAAGTTGAATAGTTGTAGATCGCTAGTGAAAATCTGCAGACCTCAACTCTTTTAGAATTATAATCAGGGTTGAGCGTGGGGTCAGGCGCGCCCGACCTGGGGGGTCGTATTGGGGGTAAGAGCAAGGGGGGAGGTCGTAATCAAGAAGCGGATTTGTTTTAAAAAAATTGAGGTACTACGAGAGTAAGGTGAAGAAGAAAAGCGCTTGACCGTGAATCTCACAATTCCACCAGGATGACTGTCGTGGAACAGCATGCTGATTGACTCGACTAACGGAGTCTGAGCCAAATTTCAATTCTTTATCTTACCTTACACATACCGTAAGGTCACCAAAGAAGCTCTTATATGTAAATTGGGTATGATTTTCGTAATCAGCATGCCAAATTACCTCAACGAGCGTAACAAACCATTACCTAATACATTTTCTAGTGTTTCCTAAGGCGTAAAAAGCATGATTTTCAAACATGATCAACTTGGTCACAAAAGCTAAAGAAGTCCGCTTTTTTGTATTCATAACGAAGTATTACTCTTACCAGTCTATTGTGGAAATTGGACTTCATACCGCCTTCAAATAGTGGATTAAGAAGTACTGCCAAAATGTAAGTCACCGCGTTTTTCACCTCAAGTGCTTCAACTTCACCGATCACCACAAAGCCAGAACAAGTCGAGGTAAGCTCAAAAACCTGCTGTAGAATCTTCGAGGTTTATGCTAGCGAACCATTTAAAATTAACTTGGGAAAGCTTCTTTGGTGATAAAGTTAATCGGGTCAGGCGCAACCCCTCAAAAGGTCAGGCCGCCTGAGCTTTTGAGGGGTTGCGCCTGACCCTATTAACTTGCCTTCAAAATCCAGAAATCGCTCCGTTCCGATATGAGTATTGAGCTCATAGCTTCTTCTTGCTACAGTGGAAATTTGGAGCCAAACGCCCCACTCCTAGATAAATTATGACCTTTTCAAAAGGCCCATTCAGATCAAAATCAGCCGTCAAATTACATGTGACTGTAAAGTGCAGTCACAGAAAATCGGGCGTACACAGTACTCAAAAATGGAAAAACGCTCTAGAAAAGGATGACGTCCTCCAGAATATCAACTCTGAGGTTTGGGAGGTCGAGAAGGGAGGGGTCGTTTGAGGGCCTTCATGGGAGGAGGGGGGGGGGTCGTTTCCGAAAGACTTGTGCCTGACCTCTTGCTCAACTCTGATTATAATTGTTATGTTCGTTCTGATCAATGAGATTATTCGTGATAGAAGGGATTCGCGCGAAAAGAGAAAAAAGAATTCTTACCATAGGTGTAATGATTAGATGTTCATAAGGTAGAGGCGTTTTACCCTGTTTTAGAGCAGCGAATGCTCTGCTGACCAAACCAAGAAGCAAGTCAAGATAGGACTTACTCAAAGCTACTCATATAGTATACTTATTGCGAGTGTTTTCTATGTGCTTCACACATTTCATGCCATAAGCGCAAATGAAGATAATGAGGAGTCGCTATAAGGTTTGTTAAACCATTCTTATTTATCAAAACTAATTGGATAAATTCCGACGAAGTTTTTGAAGCTGCAAATGTTTCGTTTACAAATGCTAAAAAGTTCCAACAAACAAGATAATATACATAAATTCGAAAAAAGCAGCAGCAGCAAAAAGTTTCGAATCTTTGGAAAATGAATACGTACACTAAACACTGCGCCATTCGCCTTCTTCTGGATGCTGAGGGCTATCAGCACGCAAAAACGGGCCCCCTGCCGAATCTAGTGCCTGTGACTGCGCTAGAAGATCGTTTAACAGATCAGGGGGGTACCATGAGCGTTCTAACGAAATGCAGCTTGTCATGATTGACCTCTTCGACATCACTCCCTTGTTAGTCATACACTATTATCAGTGTTTAGTGCTAACAACGCTGACTCTCATTCTTGTGATATACACTCAGTACAATTGATACAAAATCCTGTACATTATTGTTAAGGTGTGCGCGAGTCATTTGTAAGTTGGTATATGAGTCTGCACACTGGGAACCGACGACACCTCACAACTCGTCAGAAAAAACCTCTAGCGGAACAAACTATGGCAATATGTAATCCATTCAAACCAAAAAAGAAATCAATACAAGAAGAATTGAAAACTGACAGGTTCTAAGTTCACAAGTCGTAAAGTGGGGCGCGTATTGTGCAATACGCATAATCATTTACAAATCGACTCGACGATAGCTAGCTTCGTTCGGGGGGGGGGGGGGGGGGGGAGTAAAATATAAATCTTTCTGGAGTTTTCAGGATGGCATCATTCGAAGGATGATTGCTGAATGAGGGCAATTCTTGACTTGAATGCGGAGAAAAAGTCTGCACCCAAGAATTTGTTGTTAATCCGACGACTCCTGCAAGGTAACAGCGATAATTGTACTTTTTCTACCACCATTCCTTACTTACAGCGAAAGAAATGCAAAAAACTAAGCTGGAAAAAAATGTTCGAACCCAGACACTACTGACACATTCTCTTTGCATGCAGTTTAGCTTATGTATTGTTGATTTCAAATTTTTGAAATTCGTCATTGTCATATACATTTTCTTTCTTATTTTCGTAATTTCTCAAAAACAAAAAAGTTACTGTAGCTTCTCACCATCTCCCTCATAGAATGCCTGTAAACTATCCTTGAATCCTGGCTTTCGATGCAGCAGAAATACACTATCGTTAAGAAATTTTGCAAAATTTATTAACAGATATTGTAAGCCACGCAGGAAAAAGAAAGAGAACGTATAGAATATTAACAGATAATTCACGCTACATGATCAATCATTTACTTACAAAAATTCCACGAGTGCTTGTCCATATCGGAGCCAACCATATCACATTGTCTCAAAGTTTTAATTAAATTAATAAATTCTTTGAAAATACACATTTTTATTCTCAAGAATAAAATCTTTAGGCCCCGGACAGACTTTACGCGACTTAATCGTCGCGATCTAATCGCCAAGATTGCCATTCATTTTCATTTCACATTCAAAAATTTCGGGCTGGAAAAGTATCACAATCGAATGCAAGTCGATCGGCATGGAATGATGTTGTACAGTTGTCTCGTCGCGATTCAGTCGCGACGATCAAATCGCGTGAAGTCTGCCCGGGGCCTTAGGCTTACTCGGATGTTAGGTTATGGGATTTTCAGTAGTTTGGTTTCCCATCTCATTTTTGACTTTTTCTATTAATTTAACTGCACGTTTGAGAAAAATACTTTCAGCTTCTGAACCGGGCTTTGGTATGAAGTAAAGATGACCATATACAGTTTTGTGATTCTAAATACAGTGTAACAATATTTTATAACTCATGCTTGGTCAAATTGCTTACCGGTAAATTTTTCACATTTCTTCTCCGCTTGCGAATAATATGACGAGACTGTAACAACATTTAACTACCAATATTGTGCAATAGGGGGGGGGGGGGGAGAAGGGCAAGATTAGGATTTTCTTATATTTGAGCACCTGGGTCTTGCATATAACGTAAAATAAACCTACGTGTCTTCCATGAGAATTAACACCACGTATTCTTTGAGGAAATTTTCCAACTGAAAATCCACCTGGAGGACCTTCAGGTCCCCATTCGGCTAGCTGTAAGTAATACAAACTTTCCTAACTAGATCACTGCCCAACAATGGCATTATTTCTTGAAAAAAATGTTTCATGCTTCAAAAGTTTGATATTTGTCACTTTTTAGGATTGTGGAGAAAAAAGCTACGCTTCATAGTTTTTGATAACGTATTTATAAAAACTTGTGTTTTCTCTTTTAGTCGAAAACAAATAATTATAACATTCAAGAGTTTTTTTTCAACTTTCAAGCAATTTGTATTTTTTCTATATGAACCTTTGAATACTTCGAAGAAATTATACTTACTTGAACAAAAAAGTGTCCAAATAAGTCTTTTCAAATTTATTTAATCATACAAATGACTCAGGGGCATAACATCAATCAATAAATTATACGAGCTTTAATTTTACGAAATATGGATAGTTTTCATCAATGTACAACACTTGGTATTGATTATACCAACACTATTAAAAAAGTCCAAATAATGACTCACTTCCAAGAAAAAACTCATTGCTTTAGATAGTTTTTCCATATCCACATATGTTGCATTGTGAGTAGCTTTGTCCTAGAATTAAAATATAAAAATTCAACAAGTAGTTCAATCACAACTGTAATTTACATATAAAGATAATGTCTTAAAGTACGGAGCATAAAAAACTGCCTTTTGTTTCCCCTATAGGCAAGCAAGAACCGCCTATTCGGCTACTGTGAAATATATTATTCAGCGTAACTTGTTACCCTAAAAATTTGTGAAACAATCGCTTGTCCATTTGGCAAATACATAGCAGCCTGATTTGGATAGGCATATCGAAATATTATATTCGAAACGCTTTTATTGGGTCTGACAGCTGCTCCAGCAGGGCGTGTAGCTACATTTCTGACTTCCATCCAATCCTAAACAAAGTGGTTTTGAGCAAAATCTGCTCTCATACTAAGAAACTCTGCTTTGGCAATTGGCCAACTTATTATTTCAGGTCGTTTTTAGTGAAACAGTGGCCACTCACCATAAGAAACAACATCCTAGTCACCCAACAAACGACCATTTGTCCGAAGTGAAGTCAAAAAATGCAAGCTTTTGCATTTTCCATTGAGCATGAAACAGTCTTATCGTCCATTTATATGTTCACGAGGTAAAAGAGCGGTTATGTATTTGTAGAGGATTACGGTATTTCGCAAAATGTGGCATGTACAATATTCGATGTTGATGATGTGCCTGAACTGTAAAAATTGTTCACAGGGCAGGGCTTTGAAATATACACTGCCTTTCCCTCGCCATTCCCCAAGTCCCGGCATGAGCTGGCACCAATTTCAAACAAAGTCCCTTTGATCTTAAAAATTTTGCACGAAGTCCTCTTTGACCCTAAACCCTAAGCAAAAAACCCTAAAGAACGAAACGTCGATTAGAAAACGTGCGTTTTTTGTGTCTTTTCGGCCACAGAAACGAAATCCTCTTTGCTTTTTGTCCCAAGAACGATATCCAGCACAACCCGGTGCTAATACCCTGTTCTCCCCCTCCAAGCCTGTTTGAGAGTATTACTTTGTAAAAAAAAGAAAAAGCAAAATAGACTGTAATTTTTATGGACCACGAGATTCAAACGCATTTGCTGGGTCGTGGGGAAAAGAAATGTCTTTCTGTGTTGTGACCGATTTATTCACCTAAAAGATCTTTTTCCTTGTGCATGTGGGGCGGGGTGGGGGAGGGGGGAGGATGACAGCCTCGAAAAATCAAATTTTTCGAAGGAATCTTTCGTAAGCGTGTAAGTCCAACGCGCATCTGACTAACATATGTTGCAAAGTTCATTTGACTTATTATGAAAATCATGGAAATGTTCCATTTACTTGTATACAAAATAATTCTTGACAAGTCGTTTTCTGAAATTTCGACTCTGTAAGGATGGTAGTTTGGAGAGTGGGAGGGGCATAAGTCTTCCTTTGAGAAAGGCCAAAATGGTACTACCCTTCTCACGTTTGAACAGAGCAGTATATAAGCGAATAGATGGCGCTTAAATCTTCACATCTTATATATAAAGCTGAATGTCTGTTTGTATGTATGTCTGTATGTCTGTCTGTCTGTCTGTCTGTCTGTCTGTCTGTCTGTATGTGTGTACGTATGTTCCGAATAGAAAATTCCATTTCTGAACCGATCCGGACCAAACTTGGCACACATACGCTACGGGCCCCGGCGGGTGTCATAGGCTACTTTTCGTCATCGATCGATATCGATTTTATCGATTTTTATCGATTTTTTTGCTGAGTTCACCTACGGGGCTGGGAGTTGGCACAGGGGGGTAATCGAGCATGGGGATTCCGAATACAATATTGGTTTTCAGGATTATCGATTACTTTTATCGATTTTATCGATTTTTTTGCAAAGTTTGAGCTACGGGGCTGGGAGTTGGCACAGGGGGGTAATCGAGCATGGGGATTCCGAATACAATATTTTTTTTCAGGATTATCGATTACTTTTATCGATTTTATCGATTTTTTTGCAAAGTTTGAGCTACGGGGCTGGGAGTTCGCACAGGGGGGTAATCGAGCATGGGGATTCCGAATACAATATTGGTTTTCGGGATTATCGATTACTTTTATCGATTTTATCGATTTTTTTGCAAAGTTTGAGCTAGGGGGCTGAGAGTTGGCACAGGGGGGTAATCGAGCATGCTGATCATCCCCAAGGGGGTGATCAGCATGCTCGATTACACCCCTGTGCCGAATTCCATCCCCCTAGCTCAAATTTTGCAAAATCGATAAAATCGATAAAAGTAATGGACGATCCTGAAAACTAATATTGTGTTCGTAATCAGCATGCTCGATTACCCCCTGTGCAAAATCCCAGCCTCGCATGTCAAAATTTACAAAAAATCGATAAAATCAATAAAAGTAACCGATAATTCTGAAAACTAATATTGTATTCGGAATCCCCATGCTCACTTCCCCCCTGTGCCAACTCCTAGCCCTGTAGGTGAACTCTGCGAAAAAATCGATAAAAATCGGGTGTAGGACGATTCGCACGACCGTAATGCTTTCCATGCAGGACCACCGCCGCGTGCGAAACACCCTGCGGCGGCTTTTGCCTAAGCAAAACAGGGGGAGGAAAGATTTGCGGCGTGCATTACATGTTAAGACAAGTCAAAATCAGGGAGACGCTGGAGACCGTCCGTGCGAAAACACCGTCTCCCATAAAAATCGGTAAAATCGACATCGATCGATAACGAAAAGTGGACTGTGACACGCGCCGGGGCCCGAAGTGTATGTGTGCCAAGTTTGGTCCGGATACGGCGGAGCCGGGTAAGCCAGCTAGTAAATTATAAATTCTAACTTTCATCTAATTATTCTTGATTATCAAATAATTATGGAATTCTAGGATAATCTTAATCAACTAAGACAGCTTCTGGAGAAGTAAGCATTATGATTAACCTCAGTACAAGGAAAATTGATTTTTTGGGGTCTTTCTAAATTTCTGTTTCTGGTTACTTATCGAGTTGTCCGTGTCAGTATCACGCCAGCGCGTGCTAGCACCCTACCAGCACGTCGATCGATAAATAAGGGGTGCGTTCGTGGGCCTCGGCACGGCGCTGGCACGACTCTGGAATGGCGTGTCGGCACATGGATAACTCGGCAAGCTGCTTCAGAAGCATAGACAGGCCCAAGAAAACGTTCAACAGACTTCATTGGATGGTCAACGTGTGCAATGTGTGCAATCGCACGTATACTGAATTATGAAATTACTAGACTGTAGCATAAACACCTTTCTTCTAGAAAAAAAAAATTCTGCAACTGATTCTCCATAATTCCACACTAATGTGAAATTCGAAGTTGATCAGGTCCACTTGGAGCAATGACGCATCCGTCTAGTGGTCAGACGAAGTGTTTGTCTAGCGTTTCCTGCTAGCCGATATTCCCACCAAGGGAGAGGTGCGCAGCTGATTCAGGGTACATATTCAACTGGAAGATGTTTGTGAAGCGGACATCAAGCCATGTGTTCACAGCGCATAATATACAATGTGCTCGTGAGCTGGTTCTAATCACTCGCGATTTTTTTATGCGTATGGGACCTCAATTCTTAGCTGTATACTATTTATGAACGAATTGCGGGCATAGTAAATAATTAGTAACGTTATATGCCCCATAACCTTGAGATGACAATGATTGGCCGGCTTCCAAAAACCACATGGGTCAAAATTTTTGCGGACCTGTTGTTGTACACAACTTTCAAAACCAGCAATTTACTTCTAGCTCCTCGTCCTCTTACTGCCACCCCCCCCCCTCCTCTCCTTCAAATTTTATGACTCTGGGTACACACAAGTTTTCTCTACTCGGCGAATAACAGTAAAATGAGCGATCTGTGAATATAAATTTTTAAATTAGTAAAACAAAATTTTTAGTAGGAGTAGGTCGCTTTTGGTGTCTTTACATTTAGAAATTAATTCTATCAAACTAAATTTACATTAAAATTCTCAGGGGCTTTTAAAGGGCTCTCTTTAAGTACCAAACTCAGATCAGAATTTTTCTGCAGCGTTCGTAAAAGCGAACAAATTTATTTATCACAGAGGTAGTGTATTTCAACCATTTGAGACTAAGTTTGATACACTAGATTCACAAAACAAACGTGGTGTCAAAAGAGCTACAGTTTTGCAAGTTAAATCATTTTTAAAATATATTTGGTTTGAGAAAGTTCTTAATTTTTGTAGAAAAAGCATTTACTTATAAGTTAGTACTTATAATATATGCAGAACGTATTGATTAGCAAGCACATTCCTTTATTACAAATCTCACACCATATCGTTTGTTTGAGCACCTTGTAGTAAAAATTTTCAAAATTATTCTTTTATCTTTTTTCAGCTGCCACTTTGCCCCTCCCTTGCAAATTTCGTGAGATTTGTCCCTCTACAATCTAATTTCGTTTAAATTTTTACACAAGTCTAGTTGCAGCTATCAAAAGATATTCCAGATGCTCAGCTATACGGTAACGGTTACGGTATTCGCTTCCATAGCAAGTGCTACGGTAATATCTCGAGCAAAAAGGCAATTCAGTAACTATTACGCATGCGGCGGCAGTGGATACTCTTCTATAGGTAACTTCAAATAATTCTATGCATAAATCTGATTTTTTTTTTGTCCAAACTAAAATTTTCAGGATGTGGAGCGTACAGCGGTTGCGGAACGAATTGCGCTGGAAGTACAATTATTCTGCCAAGCACAAATTATGCTCCATCGTCAATTTGTCAGAATTTGTGCTCCAGTATCAATTGTAACCAGTACAATGGTCAATATGTCAATGGGTATGATTTTCATGCCAATTGACAGTCATCATTGCCATTGTCAAACTTTTTCAGGCTATACGTGGCCAATGGTTACGGTAGTGCTTACGGTAGCACTCAGTACAATCCATGTGCTAGCTCCTGTTGCTACGGTGATAATAACTTTAATCAGCCCCTCTGGGGAAATGCTTTGGTAGTCCCCGGGAGCGACTGGTTGAATTCACCGTACGGTAATGGAGGAAATATCTACACACCCTATGTGAATCCGATTACTCAAGTGAGTTCCAGAATATCCCTGATAAACATGCAGGGAGCGGTATTGAAAAAAAGGGGGTGGGAAGGACGTGCGGGCTGATGATATAACTATTTGAGCGCATGAGTAAGTCCCAGTAAAATTCTAAGAATTTTTGACAGAAAAAACACCAAAATTGTTGCCTACCTAGAAATTATGGAGTCGACAGACTCAGACAATAAAAAATTTTCTAGCAAGGCATCGATTTCAAAAATGTGAAGTAAAAAATCTTTTGGGTCTTATTCTCAGAAAATTGTAGCTACCGATCCGGAGTACCCTTTTTGACATAAATTCTTATTTTTCGATCAACTAGTTTTATTCAGCAGTGACGGAGCAATTCTCTCCCTTCCGAGTACGGGTTTTCAAATTCTGAAAGTAACCTACATGAGTTACAAAATCACGCAAGAGACTTGTTCTCAATTTTCAAAAATTGAATTGTCAGAATTTAAACCGTTTAGTCTTGCCAAGAATTTTCCGGGGGTAGATTGCACCTGGAAAAATTTTCGGAACGCATCCCAAAAATTTTTTAAGCTCTGTTCTGTTCTAGTCTACAGCTGACTTCTCACTCAAGATTATCAACAAAAAAGTGGGTGGCCCGTAGAAGAATCTTCTGGGTATACCATTCTTCCCAAAATTCTTCTAACGACCCATTCTTATAGAAAATTCATTGAGTTTGGAATTTACTCCTTCGATTAACTATAATCACGTTCATTTGCTTACTTTCCACATAAACTCTAATTTTTCAGGTTGGTCCCGGTCCTGTGGTAATTTCTGCCAATATCCAACGATCACCAACAGCTTTCACAGAAATAGTTAGCAATGGAGGTTAGATCTTTGTCTGTTAGGCACTTGTTAAAGTTCGTTTTGAATATCCTACAGTACCATTACAGTACTCCTAGCGGTGGCAGTGAACCAGCTGGAGGCTCTTGTGCTGAGAATGGACAATGTCCAGCAGGACATTCTTGTATGGCTGGAAATGTTTGTTGTCGTTGTGCCGTCGGCGCAAGTTCGGGTAGGTCAAAAATTTCAAATTATTGAAGCTTAGCCTCAGGGTATTTTTCTAGGCACTTGCCCATCGGGAAGCGACTTGGAGTGTCCTGTAGGTTATGCTTGCTCGACAACATTGAGTTGTTGCCCTAGCGAGGTTGGTAGCAGGTGAAAAAATTTCGAAAAATTATTGATTGTTTATTCAGCACATTCGTGGCTCGATACTGAACACATGCAATAACGGAGGCTGCCATGACGGCTACGAATGCGGAAAAGGAAATCTCTGCTATCCAAGCTACAAATAGATCTCATTTTGCTTATAAACTGTAATCATTGCATAAATATTGTTTTCGTCAAAAAAGGCAAAGAGATAGTTGACAGACAACGCAATTACCAAGAAATTTGTGATTTCGTGGTTAACACATCTTGCACAACCGCGCGAAATTTGAAACTATTTTTTGGCAAAAAAATGCATAATTTCGGTCAAGGAAGACATAGCAGCAAAATCGCTGCTTATGGTTTTAACAGTTTTAAGAAGGTGTAGCACATTCTTAGTGAGAGATATCCAACTGAGGTTAATACATAAAAAATCTTCTTGTAAAAAATTATGCTAATTTGTGGTTGGAACATCCCTAAAAAATCAGTGCTGCAGAGGAATATCGTGCTTCTTACGTCGCTGCGGTCCGAAAAATTTTTTTGGGGGGTTGGGGGTGGCAACAGGTTTTTCTTAAATAAATAGGCTCGGAGTTTGTACACGCCCTCCGAAGATTTTAGACTTCAAATTTTTGCGAGCCTGTAACCCCCGTAAGAAAAAGGTGCTTGGAGGCAGCTAATATTTTTGAAGGGCATTTGAGTTTTAAAGTTTTAGAAATCATTCTAATCATTTACAATTGAGAACAAGTCATCTGCCTAATTTAATACCTCATGTAGGCTGCTGTTAAGAATTTCATACCCATTCTCGTGAGGGGGAGGGGGGAGTTTTCCTCGGTCCTCCACTGTATGTCTATTCTCACTTGAGGTTTAATTATTGTAATCGCATCTTTTGAGGGCGAGGGAATTTTAATATTTTCTAAAACAATGTAAACGGTTTATAATCACCAGTTTTGCAAGTCAATTATATAATACTTCTTTTTACTCCCTACTCGAAATCCTGGAAATCATAGATAAAATTCTTTTAGCGTGGCTATTATGATCAATAGGTTCGACTGATCCGCGCGGCAAATACTTCGGAGAATTTGTGAACGATAAACAATGACGTTTTGCGAGATATATACATTGCGCACTTCCCACGCTATGCTAACGGATATAGGTTTTTTGATTTTCTTCTGAGAAAGTGAAAAGAAAAACAACAACAATAATGAGTGCAAATGATGAATGGATTTAGAAAAATGGATTTTTTGCTCAATTTATCTAGCTATATGCATTCAAAAACCCTCAAAAACGTATGAAATTCATTGAATTCCCGGAGGACTGGATAAAATCTGAGTATGTGTGAATTATAAGCGGATTAATCTCACTGAATTAAACATAGCCAATACAAGCAACATAAAATGTTTTGACAATTTTCTATAGAGTTAGACTAACTGGATTGTTTCAGAAGTTTGTTTCCGTTTGTCCTCCGTTGAAAATCCCGTCCTCCTCTCTGTGAATTTATGGGCTTTCTCCTTATTATCCTTTTCAGGGACGGAATCACAGAATGACTTGATTTATATGGAAAAAAAACTTATAAAACTGGAATAGGAGATTTCAAATGAAATAAGCTATCCATTTAAGAATTCATTTTTTTAAAACTAGCTATTACAATCAAGTAAAAAAGGTCAGGACTTTTAAAACAACAAACAAGAATGAAACAAAATGATTTACAGTATTGTGCTGAAACATTTTCGCTTTCCCTATCTGGATATATAAAATAAATCATATTTTCGCAAATCTGAAAAAAATGACTGAAATATCATTACTGCTGATGAAAAGCTATGAAAACAATTCTGGCATAAATTGCGACCCTCAAACTATACCAGTAGATAACTTAGACTTCATAATCTATCAACTTTTTTTGTACATCAATTTAATTTGTTTGTAAACGAGGCACTTATAAATACATTCATAACGACAAAGAATCACGTAGCCGCCATAGCTCAGTCGGTTAGAGCGTGGGTCTAATAAGCCCAAGGTCGCAGGTTCGACCCCTGCTGGCGGCAAACCCTTTTGCATTGCTTCAAAGTATTTCGCAGACTTTTATTTACCCACCACATGCTTGAACAACTGTTGTTGTACTTTTTCTGAAAACTAAATGAATGTGCAGAAGTAATGTTCGCAGTCTCTGTTTACAATTAGAATAAGTTCTACAAAAAAATGTGTTCTGATTTTTGATCTGAACAAAGATTATTTGTCCTTGTAAAATTTAAGGAGTTCTTATATGACTAATAGTTCCGTTTTATGATCCAGCGTTGAACTCACGTTAAAAATACACAGTGCCGTAGTGCTCTATTTGTTTACTCGGCCCGTGTTCACTGCACATTTTTTCGACTACTTAAACCGACTTCGAGCATGTCTAAACACTCACTTTTCTCATAACTTTTGGTCTGTAGTACTCAAAAGAATATGAGCAACTTCTATAAAGTAACCGAGTCTGTACATAAACATCTTTTTTCATTGTTGGAAGCATTATTAAATAATGTGCATTTGCAGAATGTTGCCCTATACGATATCTACAATTTTTGCTACGATTTCTACTGCTTTGGCCATGAATAGCGTGCAAACTCGTGCAAATCGACAAACTTCTTATACTATCTATTATTTATGTGGACAATATCCCAATCAATATATCTCTTATACCCGTAAGTCAAATGTTCAGATATATAGTAGCTGGGGATCTATGTGACTAAGATTGTTATTTTGTTGCTTTTCCGGCTTAGTTTCCTCTATAGATAATGATTTGGGGGAGGAGAGGGGCTTACAAGGAAACTTAGTGTCCGTGGCCTTTTGAGATGAAATGTATATCATTACACTCATCTTCGAACGCTGACTCCGAATCTAACTTCCATTTCTGCTAATCGTTTCTCCGAAAAGAGTTATGAGGAATTTTCCCGCCATGTTTAGCAGCTCGAAGAAAATACGATGGGTACACCAATTCAAGGGAAACACGATGAAAACTGAAAAACACTAAGGGATTCGAACCTACACATGTAATCAACTTGTGCCATCGCACTAACCACTACACCACAACGTACCGGCATTATTGGTGTTCCCAACGTATTTCACTCGGGCCAAACTTGGCGAAAAATCCTTCATAACTTTTTTCAGAGAAACGATTAGCAGAAACGGAAGTCGGGTTCGGAATCAGCGTTCGAAGACAAATGTAATGTGATGTAGACAATGATATACAATTCCTCTCAACGGGCCACGGACACCAAGTATCGTTTCCTTGTTAGCCAAGTCAGTGCTCAAATGAGAGCTCGTATGGTTTACTAGTGTGCGAGCAGTGCGAGGATAAACTCCGGTCCATCCGTAACTTTCTCAAAAAAAACGTGCTGGAGTACGGTAGAGAGTACGGTAAGGGCTAGCGTTTGGAGTTAAATTTTCCATGCAAAAATAAATCATATGAGCTCCCTCTTGGGCTGTATAGTTAGTTCTTACCAAACGGTTTGCATTTCAAAGAAGATATTTATATAGCCAAATTGGAAATTTGCCCCTGATTTTGTGTGTAGAACATTTCATTTGATATTATAGCATGTCCCTGTACGACATGCAATCAGAATTGTCAAAACAAGCAGCGTTGTTCTACCGATATGCAATGCCAGGTGATAAACATCAATCTAAGATGCAGAAATGGATGTTGCCAGGTGAGCGTTTACCATACGCTGGTGCTCTAATGCAAAAAACTGCTCCGAAAAATTCAGCAAACCAATAATTACCCGCCAATCACATCGACAGCTCGTACAACTACAACTCGTGAGTTTTTTTCATAAAAATTGGGAGAGGGCGTTACATCTTTGCCTGCGCATCTTTGCCCAACTTTGCCTACACGCCTGCGTATCTGACATCCTGACATCTGTCACAGACCATGCATCCCAGCATATGACATTTGTATCACTTGTCGCGCAGGCAAACCCCATCGGTGACCTAACTCCCTATGAACCCTGAGATGTGGTTCAATTTAGTAGATCAAAAGATCTTTGTTATTTTCGAAGCCAATCCGCTTTGTGATGGTCGCGAAGCGTCAGCTGGGTACTGTAGAACTAACGATGGCTGTCGCTCTGGATTCACCTGTACCGCTAACAATATTTGCTGCCGATGCTCGTACGGAACTAGTATTGGTTGGTGACACTATTATCAATTTAGTAGTAAAGAAATTGTAAATTTGTAGGTCCATGCGTAAACTTGCAATGTCCCGAGAACTTCCGATGTAATGAAAACAACGAATGTTGCCCCTATCAAGTGGGCTAATTCGAATAAATTTTTGCAATCTTTATGGTAAGAAGACAGAAGACAAGACACTATACTCATCAATTATGACTATCATATATTGTACAAAAATGTCCTAAGTACATATAACATATAACTAGTGATTATCCAAAAAAGTATGCTCATTACAGCAGAGATTTGACACGAACGAAAATGTTCGTAGAGAGGCAAAGTATGAAATTGACATTCAAATAGAACTCTGTAAATCCGTCCAGGCGACACACGAAACAAATGTTAAAACGTCGACTGTTCCACGGCGTCTCTTACCTAGAATGTTGGGTTAGTACGATTATATAGTTAAGTCAACTGACAAAGGAGCGAGTAGAATCATTTCCGAATGCGCACAGAGTTGAGGGTGAAGGGTATCTTTGAGAAACGGTAGCGCCCAAAAGTGTGCCCTAACGCGTGGTGGGACCAATTGCTGGTACGTACCTTGCTGGACAAGGTGCAATGTTAGATTACTCTTAGCATGTTTGCACCGTTTGTACCGTTAGGTATTTTCTCCTCATTTCTGTTGAATGTGATAGGGTCTGCAATGTCGGCAAAGTTTGCACAGATTGTCCGTATCAATATCTTTCCTGATTTTCATATTTAGTTTTTGTATGAGAGTGAGATATTCCGATGGTTTGTTCGTTTACGTATTCAAATGTGGATGTGGAGGCTCGATAGGAGTGACGCTTGTCATATTTCCGTTTTCCTTGTTTTCAAGCTAAATATCCCCACAAAGTGTGCATCTTCTTGAGCATCGAGAAGACGTTTTATTCAAAATTGTTGACTGTCTTCATGCTTGAAAACCCCTTCCTTTCCGTTTTGCCTACAACGACTTGCTACTTAATAAAAAACACTCTTCACCCCTGACCTATCGTCTGACACGCACTCAAATTTGATCAAACACAACAACATCAGGAAGTTGCAAAGAAGTTAACACGTCGGGATAGTACACAACATAACACACGAATACATAGTAAAGCAGTCACAAGCAAAGGAACATCAACAAAACAACGAATGATTTCCGTTTCGCGGGCTTTCGGGAAAACTACTGGCCATAACTGACACTCGTCTATTACAGGTAGAGATGGAAGTATTCACGAACAGTCGCAGGTGCTTATAAACAATCATGGTTGAAGAAAAGTAGAAGAGTTTGTTCCACATGTGCGATTGTGGCATATGCAGGGAAAATATTAGTTCTATGCCGAATGCTGCATGCAGGTAAATACATGACAATCTCTTGAGATAGCAAAAGAACAACTCTAAGGCCTAAGTATTGAGGATGCGTAGGGCTGTGTGCGTCAATGTTTCCAAAAAATGGCGAAGTGCGGAAAATCGAAAATTTTGGCGTCAAAAAAGCAAACTAGCATTGTCCGATTTTTCAAAGACGTGTCCCGCAAACTTTGTTTAGAGGGGCGAAAAAGAAGAACAACGAAAAACTTTCGGAAGAGGTTGAAGCGGTATTGGCCTGGCTTTTAAAAAGTTCCCACTCGCGCATAGTTTTGGAAACATAGGATCAGCCATTTGTACCACGTCAGGATCCAATCATCAATTCACTAGAGAACTGATATAGGAGAGTTCAACGGACAACGGAGGATCAGCACACATCGAATAACGCCACATCCCATCCTGTGCAGGCAATGACTTTGTTCTTTATAAGTCTTGGAAATGCGACACGACCTGCTGTAAACCGAGCTCGACCTTCGATTGTTCTCGAATCTCAAACTTTTTCACTTTTCCCGTAACAGTCAAGGGAAATTCGTATTCCTTTTTGAAAAGGATGTAACGTGGGATCTTGAAGTGGGCAATCTGAAAAAATGTGCAATTTCTTTTGAAGAAGTGTAATGGATAAGTCCTCACTTTTCCTTTACACCAATTCTTGATCTGTTCCTCAGTGACGATTCCAACAGCAGATTCGTGCAAGCGAATCCATGCGCATACAGATTCACCGTATCGCTCATCAGGAACACCAACTATCTGAAAGCATCTGCATTTCTTGAAACGAACAATTTCAAAGCTACCAAAGTTTCAAGTTTTCTCGTGATTAAAAGATATTGATATGTTACTGATCCTGTAATTTTTAATACTTTTCAGTTTGTTCATTTCGAAGCTTTTCAAAACCAACCGATGAGAACTGTTGACAGTTCAAAAATCTATTACAGTAGATCTCACATGTGCATCTTCAATTTTTGGATGTTTGAAGAGAAACTGCTCCACTTCGGTAGGATAAATATTTTCTCCTCCACGAACAATCATATCCTTAGATCGCCCTACTATTGAGATCGTACCATTATCATGCATAACAGCGATATCACTAAACCGGGAAGTAAAAGCGGTAAACCTCATCAGTAAAACTATTTGCATACCCCGTATGATACCATCTATCCTCGGTTATTTCTTTTTTTGTTTGTTCTTCGCTATTCCAGTAACATCGCATAACGGAATAGCCTCGTACAATCACTTCGCCCTTCTCACCTCGTGGTACTATTTTACCGTACTTGTCTACTACTGCGGCCTATAATTTGAATAAAGTAAGGACGAATATTTCCAAAAGCGGAGCTTTGGCTCGTGCAAACCTCCAAATGATCCATGATATGTCCAACACTCTTTATTCGTTGTTCAGGAGGGTCATCTCGTATAGACATGAAGGAGACAGGTGATGTTTCAGTCGTGCCGTAGCATACCTAGAAATGGTTCAAGTACGAGGTTCTATTCTCTCAAAGATAAGTCTGAAGATTCGAAGTGGGAGTTTTCTTACCTGCATATCTGTCATGTGCATTTCATTAACCAAACGTCTACAAAGTGTGATTGGACATGGAGCTCCAGCAATAAATCCTTAATGCGTTGCAATCAAGGAGAATAGCAAATGTACTCAAAAATGAATGTACGCACCTGATCTAATGCTGTCATAATTATACTTATAATATTCGGGATGATTTAGCATATCTATGAACATAGTGGGAGTACCATAAAGAGAAGTGCATCTAAAAAACATATTTTTCTTGAAAGTGATAGCTAAGAAAGGTTGTCGCTGACTTTTCTTCGTCGATGGCTTGTAGAGCTGCAAGGGCTTCAAAGCTAGGAGCGGGGAATACACACGTCTGCAGATGAGTTAGAGCGGACAAAACTCCCATAACACATCCAAAACAGTGATACAGTGGATTTGGTATGCAGATGACAGTCTTCTGAAAATCACTAGTCTATGCACAACTGTATAATCTGCAACCATGCACAACTGTTCCTGTCTAAAACTTCCATACCTGCTCATGATATCCGGCTCGAATACCAACGAAGTAGGCATTGTTCAGGACGTTGTGATGAGTTAGGGTGGCACCTTTTGGTTGTCCTGTCGTACCCTAAAGATCAGTGCATCGTTTTTAGTTGCAAAATGGACGGGAAGCTTACGCTTGTGTATTGGATATTGATCGGATCATCAGGCTGGATCTCACGTTCTGTTTTCGCTAGCTTCAGCCGGTCCTCCTCCGTGCCCATTCTTATGACGTCGCTATATCTCCATGCTCCTCTAAAAGCCTATGCTTACAAAAGAAATTTGAATAGGTTCATCTATTCTACTTCATATGACAGCACTTACGGATAAAGCTTGTCATCGCTTCCGAAAATGATCAAATGTCGAAAAACTGGAAAACATGGAGAGGAGATGTCACTTCGGCCTGGAGGCTTTAATTCTATTTCGGGAATAACATCCTAAAATAAGCTTGTCATTCAAGAAAGAAAACAAACTTGAGAATTGTTTCTCACAGTGACACTTCTATAGTAGCTCGACTTTTTGAATCCCGGAGGTGTAATAAGAGCCTTGATGTCTACTTTTCCGAGAGCGAACCGGAGTTCTTCAGACTGGTAAGAAGGGTTGATGTTCACCTAAACGATCAGACTATCTAACCATTAACTATTAGAATTTTTGAGCAGGAGACAGCTTACCAGCACCATTCCACCTAATGCAGTAGCGAACTGTGTGGTGACCCATTCGTAGGTATTTGGACCCCAGATGCCAACACGATCACCCTTTTCTAACCCAAGATGGATAAGACCACATGCAAGACGTTCTGCCTTAAACACTGCATTCAAGCTAACAACATGTAACTAGTCAAAACCAAGCTTACGTCTTTCAGCAGCTGAAGGTACGTGCGACGGATGTTTTCTCGTTTGAATATCACAAATTCCTTGTTAGGAGTCTAGATGAGAAAATTGTCACCGATTCCTTGACTATCAAAGCGCATGAATGGTCACCTGGTCCACAGCACTACGTAGTCGTTCTCCAACTGTCTCGAATAGTAATGGAATGTGGGAACAGCCGTGTACGTAACTTTTGCGGCTAGGCTGTGCCATCGCGTGCGCTGACAGCGCCGCCTCTTCCAAAGATATCGGCTCTTCTGGAAAAATTTTGTGTATTAAACTTGAACGCAGATCTTATATCCGCTCTGTGAACTGGCTTGTATGATAAGTATGGTAGCGAGTGTCACTAAAATGAATGATGCCAATAAATTGCGACAAGATTTTGTGCATCTTCTTCAAATTTTGATTCTACTACTGAAAATGCTTTGTGCTAGAAGTAAGTTCAGGGAGTAGGTTCCCAGCAATGCCAGTCTATATGCAACGTGCGGAAATTCAAAATCACAGCATTGTTTGTGAAGAATACTGTGTCAGAAGGAGGGGGAAAAAGGATGAGGAAGATGTGAGATGCTTGATGAGTAGTTTGAGATTCTCTGTATAAGACATAGTAGAATATTCCTAGATTGAAATAACATAGATTTGTCTTGGGAAACCTACATCTTATATATAAAGCTGAATGTCTGTTTGTCTGTATGTCTGTCTGTCTGTCTGTCTGTGTGTACGTATGTTCCGAATAGAAAATTCCATTTCTGAACCGATCCGGACCAAACTTGGCACACATACACTACGGGCCCCGGCGGGTGTCATAGGCTACTTTTCGTCATCGATCGATATCGATTTTATCGATTTTTATCGATTTTTTTGCTGAGTTCACCTACGGGGCTGGGAGTTGGCACAGGGGGGTAATCGAGCATGGGGATTCCGAATACAATATTGGTTTTCAGGATTATCGATTACTTTTATCGATTTTATCGATTTTTTTGCAAAGTTTGAGCTACGGGGCTGGGAGTTGGCACAGGGGGGTAATCGAGCATGGGGATTCCGAATACAATATTGGTTTTCAGGATTATCGATTACTTTTATCGATTTTATCGATTTTTTTGCAAAGTTTGAGCTAGGAGGCTGGGAGTTGGCACAGGGGGGTAATCGAGCATGCTGATCACCCCCAAGGGGGGTGATCAGCATGTTCGATTACACCCCTGTGCCAAATTCCAGCCCCCTAGCTCAAATTTTCAAAAAATCGATAAAATCGATAAAAGTAATGGACGATCTTGAAAACTAATATTGTATTCGTAATCAACATGCTCGATTACCCCCTGTGCAAAATCCCAGCCTCGCATGTCAAAATTTACAAAAAATCGATAAAACCAATAAAAGTAATCGATAATTCTGAAAACTAATATTGTATTCGGAATCCCCATGCTCACTTCCCCCCCTGTGCCAACTCCTAGCCCTGTAGGTGAACTCTGCAAAGAAATCGATAAAAATCGGTAAAATCGACGTCGATCGATAACGAAAAGTGGACTGTGACACCCGCCGGGGCCCGAAGTGTATGTGTGCCAAGTTTGGTCCGGATACGGCGGAGCCGGGTAAGCCAGCTAGTTGGCTATATATTCTCCATTATTTCAATCACTGCTAAAATGCATGATTTCTTTTTCCAAAATAATAAAATTTTGTACGAATGAGTCCATACACGTTTTTTGCTTGTGTCTTACCTGTGGAGCTACCAATTCTGGCATTTCTTATCCATTTCTTATGAGTTTCTCACCGAAAATGGATAGAGTAAATAGAAACTTTCATCTTTCTGCTATTAAATTTTTGGTGTACATGAACCTTATAATGCAATAATGCAAGAGTTTGACATTATTCAGCGGGTCATCTTCAATAAGACGTTTCTCAGAAATGTGTGCAGTGTTCATAGCTCATTGAATAAAAATATGCGTGAAGTTTTGAAGGAAACATGTTTGTACAGTCGAAGTGTGAGTGTGAAAAAAAATTGAACGAACCGCCAATGGTTGAGAAGATTCCATTTGTCTCACCGACAAACGGTAAAATCTTGCCAATGGCCTGGTCACGCATCAGTGCAGAGGTAAGCGCCAACTGCGAAATCAGTGCCGAATTTTTTTGCTGATGTATGCTAAAAGGTATGCCCACTTTGATCGACACCATAAATGGTGTGATATACTCATGGGAAACCCAGGAAGTGCTGATAACAGCGAACAGCAGTAGTTGGAGAGTAGGCGATGGAGTTATCGTTGCGAACTTCCTTAGGAGATAAGAAGGTGTCCATTAGCTTTGTGCGATCAGGCGATTCTGATGGAAAGTATGCTTGGGTCGTCAAAAAAAGTTCAAGTGAATTAATGCAATAGTCTCTAGGCTTTTATATAGCTATATTATATGGTCTAACCATACACTAAATCTGTTCGTGGCGTTTCCGTCCATTTCCTATTTCTATGATGGCGCTTGATTTGTGACAAGCACATCACTAAGGCAACCTGCTTACGCCCTTTAAGAGTGAACTTGTCAATCTAAACGGAAAGTTAATCTATTTCGGTTTTTCAGCTTTCAAAGATGGAATTCGTAAAAGGCAAGAAAAAGCGTTTAGACTCCCTTTCATTCTACCTCACGAAGAGAAGCTTGCACAGGTTCTTGCCGACCATGAAGATGACATTTGCACGACGCTGATATGAGCCATTTGTGTTAAACAAAAACTTAATGCTTCAGGAGGTCAAGGATCAAACAGGATGTTCCCTAAGTAAAAATACAGTGGAACGGGCAAGATGTTCTGCATTTAAACCAGGGCAAGAACAAAATGGTTAATCATAAAATACCGACTCCCTACGTAAACCAACTCCGCATTGTCCAAACGAATCTCTACTGCAGAAAAGCTAATGAACAGGTCCAATAAGTTTCTGTACAAAGAAACTTAACCCCATATTTCCCTGCAAATTTGAGTGGGAGGTACGTCAGTATTCAATGTACTCTGCAGACCTCACCCCAGCAGATCATTTGTCCCGCTATCTGGAAATCATATGAACGGTGCTTGTTTCGATTCTAGAGACCATCTCAGACGCTGGTTAGACGACTTTTTTGAGAACTAGACCCGCTGACTTTCAAAAAAAAACGATTAAGAATCTGACGAAGATGTGGGAGAAGTTTGTGCGCAACAACGGAACACACTATCATATTTAATAACGTCACTTTATGAAAACGCTATGGACTTATAAAAATACCCCATATACCTTCCTGATTCTGTTATCAGTTAAGATACAACATTTTTTAACGCAAGAAATCAGAAGAGGAGTACTTATAGTTTGGGTAGAGCTTTGTTTTACACATTTTTGCTACGTCCCAAAGCAGAAAAGGAAGGCACGATGTTCCTTTATGATGTGCGACATTCATCAAGTCTTGGCATATCGATAAATTGCTTAATTTAGCCAACACCAAGATTATTATAGCATTTATTCGGCTATTGTTTCGCCCTGGTCGCCTTTATCAGATCCTTTGCTGTCAGATTGAGGTAGAACCACCGCTGACTGGAATGCGCTAACAATTTTCGTTCAGTATATCATTTTCCGTTATGGAAAGCAAAGATCTTACAAGGGAACGATACTCGGTGTCCGTGGCCTTTTGTGATGAGATGTATACCATTACATTCGTCTTGGAACGCTGATTGCAAATCTTACTTACGTTTCTGCTAATCGCTTTAAAGATTTTATCATGGATCGCGCGGAGTTTGGCTGCCCAGTGAGATATTGTCGCAGCGCCAATGCCGGAGGTGCGCTGTGGTCTAGTGGTTAGTACGATAGCCTCATGAGTTGATGCATGTGCAGGTTCGAGTCGTTTTGTGTTTTTCAGTTTTGCGTTGCCTCAATTAATTTCTTTCGCATCCTCAAGCTAAGTGAAAGCCCTCACTCTTCAAAAAATGTGAAATTTTGGAAAAAATGACTACTATTCGCGCTAAAATGTGTCCAATGGTCATAATTCGAGTAAACTTTCTCGAACAATCTTAATTGAGGCAATGCAAAAGTAAAAACACAAAGGGTTTGAACCTATACCGGCATTAACTTATGAGGCTATCGCACTAACCATTAGACCAGAACGTGGTCGCTGTAGAGGCCATTTCAATGACCATACTTCCCTTAAGCGGCCAAACTTGGATCGAAATTCCTCCATAACTTCTTTCAGAAAAACGATTAGCAGAAACGGAAGTCAGATTCGGAATCAGCGTTCGAAAACGAGTGTAATGGTATACATATCGTTCTAAAAAGCTACGGACATTGAGTATCGTTTCCTTGTTAGCTGCCCTCCCCCCTTTGACGTTTTTCCTCCTCCTGTCAGGTCTCCGATCTTCCTCTTATCTTCCCCCGATCTCAATTTTACACTCATTTTCGATGTAGCAAAGCGATGCGACTTCCCCCACCCCCAAACTGGGTTCAATGACCATCGTCGAAGGTTAGACGACGTGGGGGATGCCCAAACATGCGAGATGATATGGTGCGGTTTTTGTTAGATTCTCTGCTGTGTTCGCCAAGTTCGGTTCTCTGCCTGCGACCGCCAACTGGTCTAGTGATAAGCGATCCCAAATGTTGCAGACGTTCGAATAGTTAAATGTGTTGAGTCACAAAACTGGTAAAAAGGCTTGAAAAGCTCGATAATCAATTTTGCAAGCTACTGTAAAGGGAAAAGGAGGAAGAGAAAGTCTATGAGTCAGTCACTCCTCCTGTAGGCAGTGCGTGTTCTCAAATTTCTCCACAGCTAGCCTAGACTTTAGTTCACATCTTTTAAACCGATAGTTCTCGAGATTCCAAAAACGTTGTCAGCCTCCCCACCCCCTGCCCCCTAACTACATTTCTATGACAATAACACTGATATTATTTTATGCCCAATCGCAGATGACACAAGTGATAAGAAGCGCAGAGATCAGCAGCTTCTGCAGTCTGCTCCTCCCCCCCCCTTTCCTGCAGAAATTGGTCTGAATTTTTGAAATCTAACATGAGTTATAGAATTGTGCAAGTGACTTGTCATAACCTGCAATCAATTTTAAAAAGTAAAAGTTATTTTTGGAACAAAAGAATTTCGCAAAGTTGGCTAAGCTTATATTTCTTCATTCACAAACTTCTGCCCCCCCCCCCCTTTTTTTGCTCAAGCACTTGTGCTCCCATGTACAGCTTAGAAAGAACACTAAAAATAAAAAGCTGGGAACAAACAATTGAAGCATCAATTGAAGCTCAAGCTAAGGGAGAGAATAGAAGAAAGTTCTGAAAAAATGACTTTTCCGCGGAATCGACTCGAGCCAAGATTTCCAGGTGGATTTTAATGAGGTGCGGACTTAGTCCAATAATCGATACATCCTGCCCTCGGCGCTATTGGTTAATAATTTTTACCGTAATCTAAAGCAGATATAACGGAAATTGCACTGGTGTAGAATATAGAGCAATTAAAATTATTGAATGGAGATCGATAGCTATAGAATGAGAGGAAATTCGAGAATTTTCACTTGCATTTTCTACGTTCGCTAATAAGATCCTAGAGCCGTGAGACCTCAAAATGCATTAAATTATTTCTTTAGAGTTTGTCAAACGATTTCGAAAGCATAAAAAAGTTTTTCAAACCATAGCTTGCTATCAAGATTAAATATACGTTAGAAATTCCACAATTCCATTCTTGTTAAGAGTAGTACACTGGATCCAGAGTCGAAAAATGAATAAAAAAGAATGAATATGGAATAGATGAAATAAGACGGAGCCTAAGCGAAGTCAAAAAGGTTATGAATTTTCTTATGCAAATGAGATTTGAAGTGAACAATGAATAAATGATTAGGTAAGCGAGTATTGTAGCTGGTAGACAGCTAATCTTGCAGATTGTTTTCAAATCCATAAAAAGACAACTCCACTGGAAGATTCTTCCCGGAAATGACACAAATGCGAAACATGCTCGTAAACAGCACTCAACTCGGTGTCCATACTCGTTCTAAGACCAGTGAGCGTAATTTTCGGAGAGCGTCTAGTGTGTGCGCAATGCAATTGTCTTTAGGTGTTCTCGTAATCAGATTTTCACTCGCTTGAAGGCCTACCAGCACTTGTGCGTGTTGCAGCCCACGTCTTCTTCAGATGCATATAGGTTCAAAGTTTTTTTTGCCCCCACACACACGGAAGTGCAAAATGAATGGTACTAGCTAGGACTGGAGCCCGATGGTAATCGTGAGTGTGGGTGAGGTAAGAAAAACGTGCTCCATATTTTTCATATCTTGATGTCACGAAGTCGCAATTTTCGTAAGAATTTCTATTTTTGAAAAAATTTCGGATATCCCCGTTGCCTCAAACTTACAGTCTGAATCGCTGATCTGATCGGCCTTCACTCTGTCCAAATTTAGATAGCGCACTTTGGCGAAATGCTGAATGGATCTTTGCCCCCATTGTTTCCACCCCCTCCCCTCCCCCCATGCAACTACTATTACACATTTCACGTGCAAGGGCTTATCACACCATTTTGGGTTTCTTCCGTAACGAAAGCACCATGAAAAACCCGTGAACACACAAGGTTTTATCGGAACTCATTTTTGATATGACGGTGTTTTCCACATCCTGCTATGGAAGACTTTTCCGGGTAAAATAACCACGGGGATTTGGAATGATTACAACAGAACATATAATCATGGGATTGAAGAAGACCACTAACAGCGTAGGGTCTAATTTTGCACATACTTGTTTCCGAAAAAAGGCATTGGTTTGAGAAATATAAATTAAATTAGATATTGAATATTTCATAGCTCTCACAAACTATTATGAAACTTGAATTCCTTCATTCTATGACAAGTTCAGAAAGGTCATTTTGAATTTTTTGCCTATTTATTTTAGTTTTACATAATTCTTCCCTAGTTTTACATAATTCTTCCAAATACCAAGGGAGAAGAGCACGTATGATTAGTTAATGTTTGAAAGTACTTATGTGAAATTGTTAAGCAATAAAAGTTGCTCACAGAATTAGGATATTCCCAGAAGCACTATTAGATGAGTTTCTACGGAGCATTATGTATAAGTCTTGCATCGATATTCTTGGAAATACAAGAATCCTCCATTTGAGCGGGGGAAAATAATGTGTTTCTCGAATATTCTTAAGTCAGAGAAGAACTGCTGGCATTTCGCGACGACCGGTCAAAAATGCTCAGAAAAAATCTTCTGTATTTCTCTTTTTCTTTAGAATTATGTATCCTATGGAACCGAATAAACAATAAAATCTTATCATCGTTCCACTTCCGGTATTCTTCTTACAAAACTGCTGTTCACAAATAACCTTAATTTTTGAATTCCACTTCGTGACACACTGTAAACGTATATGTACACCTTAAATCAAATATAACAAAAACGTATAGTTCCGAAAGATCTTCTAACATTTTCGGTTGATTCCTCTATTTTTAACGCAAGATTCATCGGAGACTAACATATGCGGCTCGATGAAGAAAAATACGGTTAAATTTAAATTCAAAAGCGATTTAGCAATGATGAATTTGATTTTATTACCCTAAAATATTTGTCTCTTCTACGCATATAAAACCCCGCAGATTACCGGGTTATGAAGACGGAAAAGAATGCGTGAGAGGAAGATGAGTGATGGCAGTCAATCGTTTCGGATGATAAAAGCCTCTCGTATAATGAGAGAAGAATCGAAGCAAAAACTCACCAAAAAGCATTCGTTTTAGGGGGTGGGAAAATGTGGGGCCGCGCGTGCACACACGGTGTTGCACACAGTTGGTTATACCTGCAAAGAACGATGTAAGAGTATAGAGAGTTCTAAAGAAATGCACTTCTTCAACGCGATAATGACGCAAGATTTTAGGGACCTTTAGGTAAAGTACAGTATATCAATAGGTTAATAGTGAACAGAAAACCAGAAAACTCGAAGAAAATTCTCGATAAAAATCGCCAAAGCTGCCATGAGATTAGAAAAGGATCGGCAACGACGCCACCAACGACTTTCATAACTGGATATGTCAACGAAAAAGCCAAAGGTGTGGTGTTGTAATATGAACGGAAGACTTATCACATGGGAAAGATCGGCTAATGGGAAACAAATATCGAAACACCGAAGCGATACACCTGGAAAAGCGATTTCTTGAAGAATTCGAAGAATGCTCAATTTTTTTTTCGAGGAAAAAGAGGCTTCATTTGCACCTTGCAGAGCAACTAATAAGACGTGGAGTTTGCGCTACAATGGGGACAGAAGGAATAATAAATGGTGAAGATTGTAGAAAAATTATGAAGAGGTAAATTTCCGCAGAATTTTTTGAAAATTCAAAGTCGAAGAAAATCCATCTTTATTACTCGTAGCGAATTTTTGCAAACACCTAGAGCAGGTATAAGATGATAATGGATGAACGATGAATGAAGGAGAAGATAAATGAAATAAATTAAAGGATGATCTTCTTTAATGAACAAATCTTTGTTACGAATTGATCAAAAGAAAATGAGAGCAAATCTATAGTACATGTAGCTAAGTTGATGAATAAGAGCTAGATAGGATTTTTTGGCAAAAGTACATTTAGTGGTAGGATCATATGAGTAATTTTAACAAAAATGAAGAAATGAATAAATGAATAAATGAATGAACAAGTGAGTGAATGAATGAACAAATGAATAGATGAGTGATGGATAGACCAAAAAAAAGAATGAATATGAACGATTGATTAATTAATTGAAAAAAATGAATGAATAAATAAATGAATACACAGAATCAAATGACTGTATGAATCTACTCTTGATAGCGAGGAAATACGAATGAGATGAGTGGCTATCCAAATGTGAATAAAAATGTATGGAACACCTCCAAATGATAATGTCTTTTCCAAAAAGTTGGAAGTTTCAGGAAGCTTGGGATAAGAATGCGATAAAAAGAAATAATTGAGGACTGACTTGAGGAAGGAAGAAAAACTAATGAGTGAAAAAACGATAAATATGAAGGCTTTTATATGAGAAGATATGTATAAGGCTTCAGATTACTGTCAGAAAACGCAAAAAAAGTTACAAAAGCAAAAAAACCTTCACCTAAGCCTTGTACTTCACTAAAAAAATTTTGAAAACTCCTCTTTTATCGCATTTTTTGAAAAAAGGAAGATCCACATTGCAATGTCTTTCGACACATTCCGGTTGCGTATAGCAGTTCTGCCACCAAAATGGGCGGAGCTCAGCTGAGACCATAAATCAGACTTCTTAGAGAAGGTTTCCCTTTGATGACGGGGTAAAGGAGGATCACACGGGCAAAATTTCCCCTCTCTTCACCCCCCCCCCCCAACAACACTTTGTTTACTTTCTTCTTAGATATGCGCGAGATCAGTTACCACCGTGTAAATTGAATAAATGCGAATATTCAATGGAGATCGGTTCATTGGGTCGTAATCGCAAGGACAAACTATTTTTTGCATCGCCCAAACAAGGCCAAGAGGGGGCTTGCGTGAAACGAGAATTGGCAAACAATGACATTCCCAAAATTTTGGGTTAAAATGAAACTCAAAAATATTGATTCAACATAAATTGGCACGAATCAAAATGGCAGACTTCACACAACAGCTTACTACACTATTCGCTTGTTTTGAAAGCAAAGGATGCTAGGTGTGACCCACAGTGAATAAAAAGTCAAACATTGATGGGAAACAAAGATAGGTACGAGAAGTTTGATGGCACAGACGAAATGGGGAGGAATTAAAAATACAAACATATTTGAAACCATAAGGAAAGAACATAAAGAGTTCTTGCTAAGTTGTAGAAAGTCGTTTATTGTCTTTGGCTTGGGTAAAAAGTTACCGAAGGTGTGTGACTAGCAAGCTATGAAAACAGTGAAGACGGGAAGAAATTTGAAAGGATTTTCCACTTTTCAAAAAAACGACTCTTTATAGTTGAATTAAATATTTGAACCAGAGTCGTAAAATGATGGACAATGATGAGCCAAAGTGAACAAAATGCACGCGACTCCTCCCATCATAGTGGGCGCGACTACTTTTTAAGGCAAAATCTTTTACATAAAGGAAATTTCCGAAATACCCCGGAAACGTCGAAAAAGAAGGTACTCGGCGAATGCAACTGTAGCAAAATTGGCTATATGTCACAAGTTTTAAAATTTTTTTTACAAGAGATGTGATTTTCTGATTTGTCAGCTTTCTTTTTGTGCTCTGCTTTGTGGTAGAATGGCATTCTTAGCACAGAACCAACTTTTCAATCAAAATCAAAAATTCTTGCAATTTCTTGTATTGAAGAGGGTTTATAAAGTTTACTGGAGTAAGTTTGTATGGAAGGTTGAAGTTAGTTAGTCAGGTAAAAGTCAAAGAAAGTCAATTAGTGAGGAGAAAGAGAAAGGCAAAATTGGAATTTTAGTTTTTTAGAAAAGGAAGCTTTTGTTGAAAAACCTAGCGGGAAGCAGTAAAGAGGCTAGGCTATAGTAAAGGCTACGTTATAGGCTATTCTTTCAATTTAGAGCTCCTAGACCTGATGCTCTAGTAAACATACTGGTTGACCGAAACCACCAAATGGGCAATAAAGGATGATTGAATTGGTCGAAACAGACTGATTTCACCAACAACCGGAACTAGAAGAACGGATAATGCAAATCATTTATTTCAGAGAAACAAAAGACATCGGAAGATGGTACGATGCGGTAGAGAAGAGTGAAATTAAAAGAAGGAAAATCTCAAGGTTAGCCTACAAGTTGGCGTGATAGTAGGAGGCGGACAAGCAAAAAGTCTGAATATTATGCAACTTCAGATTTGGTAAAGACTTTCTTTCCGCAAAATTTCGTGACAGGTAGGGAGAAAACCGCTGCCGTCTAACGAGACCTCGTGTTCTTGTCATGTGCGAGTGGAATTATAGGTGACATTGCATTGATAGCCCCTATTTTGCACTTTTTTCGTCCTTCCTTTATCTGAGTCCTTGCAAGCCGTGCAAAACCACTCCTTGCTTGGAGGAAGATGAAAACTGTTCTCCTGCAGCTAAGCTAAGAAATTATAAGAGAAGCATAATATACCACGTGGAATATTGGTCCTGAAACGACATGCAACAACATTGTAAAAGGACCAGTCGGCCGCGAAAGGGGAATCAAACTGTCGACGTTCGTTCCCCTACCCAATATATGTTGGCTCTCACCCGGGTCAAGTTGGTACCCTAATTTGCTTTCGCTTTTTCCACATTATAGGTTCATATCGTTCGATTGTTACTGGCGTATCATTGCGAAACACTAATCCTAGATGTTGCGCAACATGTTCCACTCTGAGCGCGGGATCTTCGCGCCATAATTTAGCGCGGAAAAGTGAGAGGTGATAAGTATTGTACTGAGTAAGCAAAAGGTGGTGCTTTAGAACTTTGTCATTTCTTATGCAATTTTATTATGCTTTATCGCCTACCGTCACTTTCGTATGTTCTTTATACACAGTTGAACAACGTTCATAGAGCAAAAGACAGGATTATAAGGACTTAAAAGCAATGGCTCCATCATGCAGGTTGGTACCGGAAATGGAAAACGAACAATAAGAATTCCTTGTTACTGTAATTCGCTACAATCTTTATAGAAGGTTTTTTATTCTTTTCGGTTGCGAATTATTCAGTTTGAATTTATGTTTTGATCCCTCCGCTTGAACGTGATAAGTTCTGGAACTGTTCATGCTAATTCAGACTGCAAGTATTTTTCTACTTGCATTTACGCAAATCTAGCCTCAATGTCTGTTGTGTAACATCACGTGGGAAAGGAGAGTATCTACGAAACTTGCACATATGGGTGGTGAGAACGGTCGAGTTATAAACTCTGATATTCTTTAACCACCATCATATCAGCTTCACAGCTCTCCCTCTTCAGAAGGAAAATGTCCTCCCTTCCAGTTGTTTTTGGCACATACATGAAGATGGTTCGAGCTTTCATGAATAGCTCGTGAATAAGATCTACCAGCGTAGAGGACTTTGAAAGGATGCTCTGCGTTTCCAGTGGTTAATGTGGGGTTAACATCATAAAAGAGCATGTTTTTGTAGTGATATTTATTGCCACGTAGGGGAAAAAGTTTTGACCTTGCTCATCAATCCACTATGGGTTGCGCTGCTAAAAGTACGTCAGAATTCCTACTTGAATAAGCACACACATACTTCTTTTGGACCGTTGAATCCAACATTCATCATTCTTTTCCATCCGTAACATAAATTGATCCCTTCAAACAGCGTTCAACTGCTCTTTACCTCTCAGAATTTGTTTATTCTTTTAACAAAAACGAGTGTTGATCAAAAAAAGCTTGCAGCGGTCAGGTGCCTAATTTCGAAATCCTCCGCCTTTAGAAACCTAGTTCCTTTGCTGAGTTCTTCTTCATAAGAGAACGCAACTACGCTCATTCTTCCCCACTCAGCCATGGTGCCTTTAGGGAATGATGTAACGTTTTCTTTTTGTGTATAATTGGGTTTTCTCTTTGTTAGTATATCTCGGAACATGCTTACAAACATGGCGATTGAGTTGATCTAGTTTTTAAAATCTCTGAGCTATTCTTACTTAAGTATACTACATTTTAGCTGTGTATCGCCACATGTAAACCGCTTATAAGATACATATAGCCTTGTTGATGTATTCGCGCAGTGTTGCTCAATAAAACTTCTATTCTTGATTAGAGTTACAAATTAGTGCTAGTGAGACCGAACAGATTGGACCATGAATCATGATACCGTAAGCGAAGGCAACACAGCAATGATGATATTCCTCAGCCAGTTCATGAAGTCAGAGCGGAATTGTTTTCTACAACAAG